CACAAGTGACATCGGACATCACTCAGGCAGCCAGAGGCACGACGATGTCTCAATTCTCCAGTCTGATCCTTCTCTCCTCCCCTCTATTCCCTCTATCCCTCTCTCCTCTCCCCTCTCCTCCCCCTATCCTTCTCCCTTCCTCTCTCTCCTCCCCTCTATTCCCTCTATCCCTCTCTCCTCTCCCCTCTCCTCCCCCTATCCTTCTCCCTTCCTCTCTCTCCTCTCCTCTCCCCTCCCCCCTTTCCTCTTTTCCTCCTTTGCTCTTAATAAGTATCTAATTATCAACATAACGACATTGAAATGATCGCAGAAGAAATACAGAGAGAGAAAGAGATTAATAAAAAAAAAATATATAATTCTAATCGGACACAAGTATAAGCAGAGGAAAAAATAGACAATATATAAAAATGAGACAAAAAAAAAATAATGGAGGTACGAAATACGTCAGCAAAAGCGTCAGCCGTGTGATGGCGTTTTTTTTTTCTTTTTTCTTTTTTTTTTTTTTTCTTTTTTTTTTCCATTGTGCTGACGCTCCTCCACAAACCGCATTATCGTATGACATCGATCGGAAAACCATCGATGATTGGGAGGTATTATGTTCACCTGTTGGGGCCATGGTCGCTATGGCAACAGGTGAATCTTATCTGCTCAGCATCAGCTATTCGGGGAGGGGAGGAGGGGGAGGGAGAGGGAGGGAGGGAGGGAGGGAGGGAGGGAAAGGGGATGGTAGAGTAATGGCATGCTCCCCCCCCCCTCCCCCTCCTCCGTTGGCTTTGCGTTCGGACCTCCATCGGATCATCTGCCTTTTTTGGGGGAGGGAGGGGCGCTGAGGGAGAGGGAGGTGGTGCTGGGGTGATGCCGGAGAGTGATTCTTTGGGATTCTGAGCTTTGTTTTTTGTTTGTTTGTTTAGTTTGTATGTATCTTAGGCTGCTCTCTGTCTTTTCTCTTTTTCTCTTCTCGTCTCTTCTCAAGTCTTCACTTCTCTTCTCTTCTCTCTCTCTCTCTCTCTCTCTCTCTTCCCTCTCTCTCTCCTCCCTTCCACCCTCCCTCCCTCCCTCCCTCCCTCCCTCCCTCTCCCTCCCTCTCCCTCCCTCTCCCTCCCTCTCCCTCCCTCTCCCTCTCCTTCCCTCCTTCCTCCCCCCCCTTCTCAACAACAACAAGCCCCGCCCCCCCTCGTTGTCTCCGATTAATTCGCCCAGATTTCCCAAAATCAGCTGATTGCCCAAGCCCGCCGAGAGTCTTTGTCGGGTCACGCAGCATCAGCTGATCTCACCCCTTCATGTTGATGGCTTCTCTGATCTCCTGTCGAGAGATGAAAGAGATGAAAGATGCTGGACGATGCGTTGTTGTTTAGGGGGTTCTTGCTGCTGCTTCTGTTGTTGTTGCTGTTGTTGTTGCTGTTGTTGTTGTTGTTGTTACTGTTCCGATTCTTCTTCTTGTGTTATCGTTGTCTTCGTTTTCTTGTTGTTCTTAATATTTTTTTTTGTTGTTGTCGTTGGTATTGTTTTGTTTTTTGTTGTTGTTGTTGTTGATTTAGTTGTTGGTTTTATCTTGGGTGATTCTGGTGATTGCTCTTACCATTACCATCACCATCAAATCATCATTATAAGCAATCCAAGTCATTATATCAATTAAAACAAAAGTTATGCAGAGAGAGGGAGAGAGAGAAAAGAGTCAGATATGGAGAGAGAGAGAGACAGACAGACAGACAGACAAAGGCAGAGAGAGGAGGGTGGACAGACAATCGGATAGATAAACAGACAAACAAACAGAATGATAGACAGGACACAGAAGAAAGAAACAGTAAGATACAGAATTCTAAACGCATACACAAAGAGAGAGAGAAAGAGCGGGGGGGAGAAAAAAGCAAAACTCATGGTACTGGATCTTATATAATACCCTCTCTCTCTCTCTCTCTCTCTCTCTCTCTCTCTCTCTCTCTCTCTCTCTCTCTCTCTCTCTCTCTCTCTCTCTCTCTCCCTCCCTCCCTCGCACACTCTATCTATCTATCTATTTCTATCTCTATCTCTATCTGCCCTCCCCCCTCTCTCTTTAGTTTTATGTCAGTCTCTTTATTTCTCTCTCTGTCTCTCTGTCTCTCTCTCTCTGTCTCTCTCTCTCTCTCTCTCTCTCTCTCTCTCTCTCTCTCTCTCTCTCTCTCTCTCTCTCTCTCTCTCTCGCTCTCTCTTCTCTCACACTCTTTCTTCTCTCTTTCTCTTTATCTCTCTTTCTCTATCTCTCTTTCTCTTTATCTCTCTTTCTCTTTATCTCTCTCTCTCTCTCTCTCTCTCTCTCTCTCTCTCTCTCTCTCTCTCTCTCTCTCTCTCTCTCTCTCTCTCTCTCTCTCTCTCTCTCTCTTTCTATTCACACCTCTCTCTCGCTTGTCCTCTTTCTCCTCCGTTTATTCCTCCCTCTCTCCCCGATTCGCTCTATTTCCATCGCTTGTCACTTCCGTCTGCTGCTTTTGTCGCCTCGTTTTCGGCACATGACATTAATTGG